GCTGTTTTAACCTACACAATAAAAAGCAAACAATCCAAAGACTAAACAATAGCATGTCACTCAGGTCTTGCTGCCTGAATATTATCTGCCTGAAAGCATAAAATGTAGTACAGGTACAACTAGTGTGGGCTGCTTAATGGGTGCCTGATTTTTTGTTATTAGTGAGTATGAGTTGTGATCTGACAAAGCATCTGCTTAACATTGAGCAAGCAAGGATTGCTCACGTGCTGCAGAGCACTGAGAAGTCACTTTCTCCTCACGGGGCAATCAAGTTGAAGACTTGACTAGAGAAAGGCTAGGTTCAAAAAAAATAAATTACCCTTATTTCCCATAAAAACAAGGGTGAATGCAGCTGTTTAGGCACTGTGAAAACTATTGTAATACCTGAGTGGTGCTAACTGTACTAACTTTATGAAGGCAAAGTGTATTTCTCATGTAAAAAATTACAGTATGTGATAGTCTTGAAGCAAGTGGTTTAAAGTAAAAAAGCCCAAAGTTCCTAGTGCTCTTCTGCTTTCAGATTTCAGCATTCAGTCTGATCAGCTCATTGAAATGTGGAGTGAGTTGGAAATGTATCTATTAAAAGAAAGAAATTGGGATTTTGTCAGGAGGTCACTCTGAAACCTTTCCAAGATAGCTTCTAATAGAGAGCACTGTATAGTTTGTATTGTTGGTTTAAAAAAAAACCACACACCTGTGCAATATATTATTTTACTTAAAACTCAACAAAGTGGTGATATTTTAAAATTATACCTGGCCAAACAAGCCCTTAGCTGCCTGATAGTACAGCATTGCTGGTTCCACTCAGGAAAAAGAAATTGTGAAGTTTTACTTGTATAGTGCTGTACCATGTGTATGTACATAGTACATGGATCCAATGTAGTGGCTGGTGCAGCCTACATGTAATGTGGAGCAGAACTGGATATTCAAAAAAACCAGCTACAGGAGTATTTCTTGTCCAGTGAAGTTTATGCCGGTTTGGTTTGACCTCTTCATTGGCATACACATACACATACACATACACACACACACATACACATTTCCACACACATATATACACATTTTTTTGCTGCAAAGTCTGAGGAAATGTGCAGTGTTTTATTCTAAATTTCTGACCTGTTGCCTCAGTTTGTCCATCTAATTTTCAGTCTTTGTCCCTGAGCTGCTTTTCTTGCCAGTGTGCCTCAAGAGAGGCACAAGAAATCAAGGCTATGTTTCATCTAAATCTTTGGGGTTTTTCTTCAGGCTTACAATGCCTCCTGTTGTTATTCAAGCAACTGTTATTTAGGACAGAAACTTCACAGTGGAACTGAGTTTATTTTTAAATGTCCTTTTCATGTAGATGCCTGCTGTGCCTGACACTGAAACATGTACCGGCCCTCAGTCAGAATGCATCTTCCATTCCTTACTCAGCTGCACCTTTTTTTTTAAAATTTTGTTGTTTTTCCTCCACACAAGAAACATTTGGTTTTAAACCTGCTGACTCACACAGCACATGCAGCTGTTCTGGAGTAATTGTTCAGTAAGAGTATTCTTTTTGTTGAGTTAGGGAATTAATTTGATTCCAGCATCCTGACCATAATTCACTACTTACATTTTCTAACCAGCTTTGTGCTGTTTCAGCTTTTTACTCACTGATGTTCTCTAACTTAGAAACTCAAGGCCTTTCACATAGACCCACTGTGTCAGTGCTGCTTTGGAGCAGTTCAGTACCTACTCACTGAGATGATGCTACCAGTGACTTGTCATCTGATGAGATTGTGTGTACTGAAATAACTTTGTTATACCTGTGAAATACCTTTTAAAATACAATAATATGGCATATAAACAAATAAGTTAGCAGTCAGACAATCTGAAAAATAGTCTTTTGTTGGTTTTGTCCTTCAGATTGCAACAAAAAGTCTCAATTTAGCTGATGAAACTATGCAGAATAATTGAAATACCTGTTGGTTCTCCTTCAGCCTATGTCAGGTGCAACTTTGGTGGGATAGGAAAGACTGTTTCTTTCTATTGAGGTCCTGTGCAGGAGATGGCAATCAGAGAAAATTAGAAAAAAACCAAACTTGACAGAGCAGAGACTTGTGTGAGCAGCAGGGCCTAGGAGATTTCAGAGAAGAACAAGGAACAGACATAGGAACAGAACTTAGATACTAGAATGAGTAAATCTTTTCCTAGGGACCCAGGGGGACTGTATGCAGTCTGCTCCAAACCAGAAGGCTGCTGACACTTGTTGGACAAGTAGCAAGACTGGAAAGAGGGATGGGTTAGGTGACTTGGTTCAGATGATAAATACAGCTAGAGCAGAGCCCTGACTGGATTCTAGTTGTTGAATCTACATGGGATATTTTGAAAAATAATGCTGGCAATAACGCAAGTGCTTGTTCCAGGATCTCTGACAATTTTCACTGAATGTACATTTTGTCCTGCAGGCTTTCTAGTAGAAAATTAAAGTATAACATATATGGTGATTCCCTGTCACTGACATGGAGGTTTATATTATGAACATATCAGGTTATATGTAAAATTCTTATTTGGTTATTAGGTTAAGTCTCCTCTCACAGTTTTGTTTAGTACTTCAAAACCTGAGGAAGTTTAGCTCCACCCTGTAGGTAACAGCTGTTTGTGCTGGTTTTTTCCTACTTCAGTTAGGTTTTTGTTCTTCATTGAAATGACCAGTAGTAGAAGAGTGTCTTTTATCTGAACAGTACTGCTTTGAACTACTTTTGGATCATTCTCCTTTGTGCAAGCAAATAAGTTATGTTTAACTGCTACTCAGGTAATGTAGCATCTCAAAGTACATAAACTGACAACCTTTTCTGGTGTATTAAATCTTGTATTAGTCAGAATTGGGTTTCTTTTGAATTCCCAGAAAAAGTGCTTGTGGAATGCTGTGAAAGTCTCATATAACTAGTGGGGTCTTTTTTCTTACTATTAAATATTTGTAGAAACAAGTACTTGGGGAATGCTAGGACATCTATGTATTTTAACTTAGCAGGATTCTTTTAAAAATATATACAAACATCTCAACATTATTTTCATTTTAATTTTTTTAGAATAACGAGTATGGTTTCACCACCTGGACTAAACAGATCTCTTTATCTCTGGGTATTAGCCTGCATTCTGTTATCGCTGGTCCTAGCAACATGATGAAATGTGAGCTTTGAAGCAAATCTTTTAGAGGATTCTCTGTTGGCAGGCTCCATGATCAGCTCATCCAGACATGGAATCACACTGACTGAGTCCTCTCACTGCATGTTTTATTACAAAACACTGTCCTATATTATCTGCTTTCTAAAAGACTTTTAAAATCCCTGAGAGAACACGTTTTTCCTGACGTATAAGGGAGCTAAAGTATTCTGCATCTGCTTTCTAGCTGCCTTGCAGATAGAAGAGGAAGTAACACTAGCAGTCATGTCTTCCCATCATTGCTGTTAATTATTATTTATTATTAATACAACTATCAGACGTGATTTATTACTGCCTCTCACTATTTTATGTTGAATTCTGTGGGATTTACTGTTCATCATAGATTGCCAGTTTCAGGAGCCATTTGATTGGAATCAGGTCAAGGGAAGTTCTGGTGCTGTTTGCTTTTGTGATAAATGCCTGGATGTGTGGATAAGAGGAAAGCAGTTGGATGCCTTTTACCTCAGCAAGGTAAAGCCTTAGCAAGGCTTTTGACAGTGTTTCCCACAGTATTGCTGTATACAAGTTAGGATGTTACAGTCTGGATGGGTGGGCAGCTAGATGGGCAAATAGCTGTTTTGAGGGTCAAGCTCAGAGGGTAGTGGTTAATGGATAGCTTTCTAGCTGAAAGCTGGTAAAAAATGCTGTACCTCAAGGGTCTATACCTGTTTAAAGTCTAAGTGAGGCAACGTCAAGTTTGCAGATTACACCAACTGGGAGGACCGGCTGATGTCTTCAAGGGCAGAGCTGTCATTCAGAGGAAGTAGACAGAGTGAGGGAATTGGCCAACAGGAACCTGATAAATTTAACAAGGATGAACACAGAGTTCAGCATCTGGAGAGGAGGAACCTCCTGTGGTGATACAGGCTGTGGGGTAGCTTGGTAGAAAAAGAGCTTTGTAGCCAGCAATCTGCACATGAACCAGCCATGTGCCTTGGCAGCTAGGAAAGCCAGCAATATGCTGAGTTATATCACCAGGACCATAGGCTGTAGATTGAGGGAAGTGATTTATACCTCTCTACTCAGCTCTCATTAGACATCTATAATACCATGTCTAATTTTGCCCTCCCACCTGCTGTCCAAGGAAGACAACTATAGATTGGATTGAGTGCAGGGGAAGGCTACAGAAGTTGTTGAGAGCTGGAACACAAGTCCTGTGAGAAGAGACTAAGGGAGTGGGGCTTGTTCAGGCTGGAAATGGTGAAGCTTTGAGGGGATCAAACAGCAGCTTTCCAGTGCCAGTAAGAAGGTTATCAAGGAGTCAGAGTTGGGCTCCTCCCAGTAGTGCATGGCAGAAGGGCAAGGGGCAATGGGTATAAGTTGAAATGAGAGAGGTTCAGAGTTGGGTATAGATTCCTCCAAGACAGTCAAATGGAGGAACAGTTTTTCCAGAGAGGGAAATCAGTCTCCATCCTTGGTGTTTTCAGGACCAAACCGAATAAAGCCCTGAGCAATCTAGTCTCATCTTATAGCTGTCCCTGCTTTGAGCGGGAGGTTGGACAAGAGCTTTTCTGAAGTCTTCTGTAATTATGATATAAATAAAACTAAAATATAAATAAAAAAAAAGAAAAATATTTCTGTCTTTGTGTATTTGCTGTATACTTTCAGGTTGTTTATCAACTGTACAGTTTTGAGAGATGAGTGGTTGTAAAATGTTTTGTCCAAAGAACCTCCGTTTCCTTGCTGATGCTTTAAGTAAGGGTGATTTCTCTATTTAAGTTAATTAAATTTTAAAGTGCATATGAAGATGGCTTCCAGGTTATCAATCTGGTCACATACCAATGTGAGCAGAGTGTCCTTTTGCTCCTTGGCAGGCAAAAATTGGGACTTGTCAGCAGCATTGAGTGACTATGAGCAGCTCCGGCAGGTACACACCGCCAACCTGCCACAGGTGTTCAATGAGGGCAAGTACTACAAGCAGCAGGAGCCAGAGCAGCCTCCCCAGGTGACGAAGGCTGAGCGACCCTGCCTGCAAAGGCAGGATGACATTGCTCAAGGTAAGAGCTCTTCTCCAAGGCTTTTGTTGACAAGCAGCTTTCTGGCTTGTCTGCTTGCAAGCTGTGCTAGTCTGCAGGGACCATTGGAAGTCATTTGGCATCAGCCTGCGACCTGTGTCGTTGTGATAGGATCCACAGAGCTGCTGCTGGGCCCTGCGCTTCACGTGTTTTAGTTTCATGAGCAAGTTCTGCAAGTTATTTCTTAAATTTGTGATTAAAGTACAAAAATGTGTTGTTCCCAAGCAACATATAAAATGAACATATAAAATGAATTAATTAGGGGTGTCACAGACCACTATTGTATGTCATTTTCTATACTTATTGGGACCAAAAAAAGTTTAAAAAATTTCCACATTTCAGTCTTTACATTCTTACTCACAGTATGTGATTTGGGTGTATGAAAACTATGAATAACTTTCAGCTTTAAAATTTTGTTCTCTTTTGGTTCCACAGAAGAAAGGGCAATCTTCCTATACCCTGCCAAATAGAAATTGAAACCTTGAGAAAAATGAGTCAGCTACCTCTAGCAGTTGATTTCCAGTACAGGATGATAAGCATTAAAATTTACTTTTTTATTTGCAGATCTTTTGTAGGTTTTATTTCAGATCTCTGTCTCTCTCAGACTGTTGGAATGTATTTTTTCTTAAATGCTAATTCATCAAGGCACTGCAGTTTGCACCAAAATAAATCTACAGGTCTGACAGCTTCTCATGTTGGGAGGTAATAGCACGAGCCCAGTGATGGCTTTCTATGCAATCATTAGAAGGAACAGAAAGCCTTCCCTTCTCCTGCTGGGCTCTTCCCTCCCCTTAAACAGGAAATGGCATCAGTACTTAGAAGTGTCAGTAAAGCCTTTTTATAATTGGTAACTTCCATCGGTAGAAAAGGAACCATAGTGTTTGTTATGATCTCTTAAAAGTGCTGAATACAAATAAAGGTAAGAAGAGTAGCACACTGTAAGCTGATAAAACTGTACTCATTAGGCTATAGCTCACTCCCAAATTCCATGTTATTAAACTGAGCGGTTTAGACTGAAACAGTCATTTGATGTGAGTGTAGTAGGTAGTGTGGGGTAATTCTGGCTTTAAATGCCTGGACTGACAGTAACTTGGCTGCCAATTCAATGCATAACTGATGACTTCATGAAACTGGAGTGAGGAGGACGTTCAGGGAGGAGCAGAGAAGGGAGAGGGTCTTGTTATGGACCAAGAACTTGCAGTGGAGGTTGCAGCGAACAAGTGAGGGCTGGACCGTGATGGGAAGAGATGATGGAGTGGTAGCAAGGGGATGTCAAATAGAAATGCCATCCTGTACTTGAGTTACCCTGTTTAAAAGTGATTTAGCTGATATGTGCGAGGAGAAGAAAGAAATGCAAATGTAATCAGACCTTCTCTCTTTCTCCCCCAGTTTAGGACATTTTAGAGACTGCAATTAAGCTCTTAAAATTAGAAAAACATTGATCTTACAGAGAAACAAAAGTTCAAAAACTCCAGGAAAATTAATTTTCTAGTAAAACATCAGTTAGTTTGAGGAGCTTTAAAAACACTACTAGGTGATAAGCTGCATTTAAGTGAGATTCTTTGTTCATTTCTGAAGGCACGGGACTACAGGAACTTCTTTTATTTTAATATAACATTGCATGCATTTGAGAGTTGATTAATAAAGGCCAACTGGTGGTAGTATTTATGAAGCTACAGAGGTGAAGCTGCACTGAATCATTCATTAGAAAAACTTACCAAGGAAAATCAGTTAAAGGACTATCTAACTTAATATTATGCAAATCCTACTAGGACGATTTCTACATATTCCAAAATTTAAGAAACTCCATAAACCTGGTGTCAACTCACTGGTAAAACTCAGTAAAATCCCTAGGAGACTTTCTAGCATTAATTTAAAATAATCCCCACTGTGAAAGATGGCGTGAAAGAGTGCAACTCAGTGAAAGACCCAAGATCAGTCTGTTCAAAGCACAGGAAGGCAGTGGTACTGTGGAACCAAGGTGCACGGCTTCTCAGATGCAGAGATTCACAGAATCATAGAATGCATTGGGTTGGAAGGGACCTTTAAAGATCATCCAGTCCAACCCCCATGCAGTGAGCAGGGACAATGTTACCAGATCAGGTTGCTCAGAGCCCCATCAAGCCTGACCTTGAACATCTCCAGGGATGGGGCCTCCACCACCTCCCTGGGCAACCTGTGCCAGTGATCTACCACCCTCATATTTAAGAACTTTTTCCTAATATCCAACCTAAATCTACCTTTTTCTAGTTTAAAACCATTACCCCTCGTCCTGTTGCTACATGCCTTAGTGAACAACTCTTCCCCAGATTTCTAATAGGCACCTTTCTGGTATTGGTATAAGGTCCCCCTGGAGCCTTCTCTTCTCCAGGCTGAACAACCCCAACTCTCTCAGCCTGTCTTTGTAGGAGAGGTGCTCCAGCCCTCTGATCATCTTTGTGGCCTCCTCTGGACTCACTCCAGCACTTCAGTGTCCTTTTTGTGTTGGGGACTCCAAAGCTGGACACAGTGCTCCAGGTGAGGTCTCACCAGAGCAGAGCAGAGGGGCAGAATCACCTCTCTGGATCTGCTGGCCACACTTCAGAGAGAAACGTTATGCTGAATGTTAAACTTTTGAGAGAAGACCAGTAACTTTTGATGAACATAAATTTAAGCAGCAACAAAACATTCATTTCTATTTTTTAAAAAATACAAATGAGTACAGGGCAGCAGGAAACAGCAGGAAAATATCAATTTTGACTGAGTGATTTGTGAGAACTTGAAGATTATTACTGTTACCCATTTGCTGATACCTGAACTGGGGCCTTACAGTAAAGCAAAATTCTAGTAATATTTTGTCCCTTTCTTAACATTCTAATTCTTATTTTGCTTTAATGTGCCTTTACTGTTCCTTATGTAGCATTTGTCCACAGAGAAATTAAATGGATTATAAGATATTAGCTCATAGTTCTTTTGATAAAATAATGCAGTCTTTTGTACCAGGCTTTCATCATTCTTTTTGAACTATCTATTTTTTCTTGGATCAGGATTTTAGAAAACACATAAGCATAAAAAATGAGTTTGTCTTAAGTTCACCGTAATGATGATAAAATTGCTTTCAGGTGCATTGTTCTGAGATTAAAACTCTATGGCACGTTCAATATGAAATGAATGCTGAATTTTTTTGATTCACGAGTCAACTTGAATTAAGAGTTCAAAACATTAATTGATTATCACACGTCTGCCATTAAGTGTTTCTTCCAATGCATCTTTGGAAACTTAAGAGACATTAAAAAAATTTTTATAGAAATACTTGTCTTTCATATCTTGTTACTGTTCATCTCTTTTGCTAGAAGGAGAGTGGAGTTCCCATGTTTTGTCATAGGGATCCATAGTAAGAACTAAGCAATCTTTTACAGTAGGGAAATAACCCAAAAAAGGTAACAAACAAGAAGTGGAATAAATTACTAAGTGAAACGAATGGGCATTTGCCAGGCTTGGTGTTGACTGGATTTCTATGTGGCCTTATAGGCTGTAATATCTCTTTGGTGTCTTCACAGAAAAGCGTCTTTCCCGTGGTATTTCTCATGCCAGCTCAGCCATCGTCTCCCTTGCTCGATCACATGTAGCAAATGAGTGCAGCAATGAACAGTTTCCTTTGGAGATGCCCATCTACACATTCCAACTACCAGACCTTAGCGTGTACAGTGAAGATTTCAGAAGCTTCATTGAACGTGACTTAATTGAGCAGGCAACAATGGTTGCTTTGGAGCAAGCAGGTGGGTAAATACTTCAGATGGCAGCAGCTGGGCACTCTGACATTTGGGTTGACATTTCTAATCATGCTTCATTTCTGGAGCTTGCGCATCCTGCATGGAAAATAAATGCCAGAGAGTAGTTTTGCAAATACTGTGCACTTTGCAAAATGGCACATAGCCTGGTCCTCTGTTTCTTTTAAAACCTTGTATAGAGAACTGTCATAAATCGAAGAAATTGAAGAAAGGAGGACTGATGTGGAAGTCAGGCAGTAGAGAAGGACATGAATCTGGGTGGTTGGAGGGGGTTAGTACTTCCAGCTCTCCCAAGGAAATGACATTGCAATGACTAACAAAAGAAATATGTTCAAGTTCTGTTTTTCTCAGCTTGAGAAAAAAGTTTTTAATTCTGTATTTTATAGAGTATTTTCTAAAGGAAAGGCCCAGATAAAGGCTAGGTGATTTACTCACTCTCTGCTCCTGCAATGAATCCTTTAGTCTTTGTGTGATTGCTTTCTGAATATTTCTCTTAGAGGATAGAATTCGCCACATGCATAAAATCATTTTGGCATTTTGTGCATCTTATACACTCTATTATTGCCCAAATTGGAATAAGGTCAGCTTGTAAGTAATGTGCAGGTTGATCACTGAGTGCTCTTGCAGTAATCAGTGTGGTTCTTCGATGGAGGATGGCTCGGATAGTGATAATGTTAAATGAGGTCTGTGTGTGAGGAATTTTAGAATTCTAAACATTTTGCTGCTGATATTCACTATATCCACATGTTCCCCCAAGTGTCATTAATGTGTAGGCTACACAAAGATAGATATTATCAAAACTTCTGCTGGACTGATGGGTTCGAAAAACCATAGTAGGCAGAAGAATGGCTGGTCTAACACAGTGTTTTTAATGAAAATAAAAAAAAGTTTCTCTCGCAGTGCTGAAATATAGTTCAGTACAAAACTTGAAAGTAAACTGTACAAACCTTCCAGAATATTGTGTTCCTACACTTTTCTTTCTATGCTTAGGTTTGTGTTTTCTGTGAAGCATTTTATACAGCTACAGGCAAAATAAACAGTAATACGTTGTTAAGCGTGGGTTTTACATCCCCAGAAGCAAATCCACCAAAATTCTGGAAGTGTTTGATTTCACTGTTAAAGATTACACTTTGTTAAAGAAATTTTATGCCCTTTCAGGATGCAGAAACGCTTATGTTTAAGAATGTTTAAGATTTTTGCATGGTATATGCAGGATAGTGACCATCATAATTACAAGAGAACTGTATTAATTTCCTGATTTCCAAGCTTTGAAATGCATGCTTATGTAATTCAGTTCTAATATGAATGACAAATACTGCATCACAGAGTAGGATGAAATGCATTAATGTCATAGAAAACCATCTGTCTTGGGTTATGAAAGATACAAATGAAGAAGACCAGTAATACTGGATCTGCAGTTACCTGCAGAGAGCTGAATTCTGTATCAGTTATCTGGAGTCAGTTAGGCCTAGTCATATATTTCTGTGCCATCTTATTTTGATCTTTGATTTGCATTCTCGTCAGTAGCCTCTGTGACAGAGTCTGTGCTGCTTATTCATCAGGCTATGAGATTTTACTTGATTGCTCAGTTTTACTTATTTCTATGTGCATGGCTTAACATTACATTTCAAGGACATCAGTAAATATGAAAGCCTTTCAAAAGCCAAGTTGGACAGGGCTTTGAGCAACCTGGTCTAGTGGGAGGTGTCCCTGCCCGTGGCTGGAGGGTTGGACTGGATGATCTTTAAGGTCCTTTCCAACTCCATTCTGTGATTCTATGAGTGGCCTTGCAGATGCTACTGTGAAGCCAATTTCATAATTTAGATTTAAAGAGACAGTACCTACAAGAAGGTCCTTTCTTTGAAGTACAGAAATTGTATTTGTAAATACTTTATTTATTCACTTATTTTAAAAAGTAACCAGTCAGTGAATGATTAATACAGGACCATGTAGAAAATCTGTTCTTGTGGTCTTCTTCACGTCAGTGCTTGCCAAGTACACATTTATTGTATGAAAGGACTAAAACTAAAAATAAACAAATCCTCTTAGCTAGTCATGTAAGAAAAATGTAAAGCATAGGAGTAGCTCTGCTGAAGTCTGGATCGGAGGTTTCTGCACCCATTGCTAAGTGTCTGACTGTTCTGAGTGGGCTGAGCAATCCTCTGCTGACTGCGCCTGTCAGTCCTGAGCATGCACCAGAGCAGTTACTGCTGTGGGATTCCAAAGGGGAGCTGGTGAGTGTTCAGGGTGAACCATTGCTTCTGAGAATATACGGGGTGTTCAGAATTAAACTGATTTGGAAGCTGAAAATGTTATTCTGTGACTTGCTCATCCTGGAGAATTGGTAAGAGATGGATTTCTGGAAATAAGATGTGCTAGAGAAATGAAAAGTTTGTAGTTTTATGCCTGGTTTCTGAAGGAAATCCACAGCATCAACAAGCTGTCTCTTAAGATTGTGTCACTGTCTATTTTTTAAATTGAACTCTGCCAATTTCAAACGTATTTGTGAGTAAGCTTTTACAGGTTTCATGAAAATAAGCAGCTAGCTTATTTTTAGTATTTCCATAGAATAAAAACTTGCAACATAAATGCTGTTTATTAAACAGTACAGAATTGACATGGAAAAGACCTCCAGAATGGCCAGCCACCAATATAAGCCACCAGAAGTGTCACCTTTAGCCGCACGGATGACAAGTGCAGGAAACAGGACACTGAGTCCCACTGTTCACAGGTTGACTTGCTTTCCTCAGTGAGGTGCCTGCTTTGTCTGTGTTTTTGAGGAGTTGGCCTAAGACTGGTTTACGTAGCTGTATGAGAGAGTACTGTTAATAGCACAGTGAAATGTGTTAAAAGACAGTTGCACCCAACCTGAGGTAAAATTGTGCAAGCCGTGACGTACTTCACACTTTTTCCCACTTTTAACCATCCACGTTTTTTTCTTAATATGTATTCCATTTATTCTGTAAGAATTCTGACTTATTTTTGATATGATAAATGCACAGTGGCATTGCAGGTGAGAAACTGGCCGTTTGCCTTGAAGGAGGTGATACGCAATCTAGCTTTGCCGTGAAACTTCCACCACACATCTAGAGCTTGAGGGTGGGCTCATCCTTTGTAGCATCTCTTTCTCCACGTCAAGAGAGAGTTATTTTAAGTTATCTAAGTTCCTGTTTGCTAAATCCTTGTAACTTTTTAGTGGTTAATTCTGTTAGAAAATTTCCAAGTCTGAAAAGCCATTTAGTTTTTTAGTAGCTTAATCCAGAAAAAAGAAAATATGGACTGGAGAAAATTAAGAGGGAGCAAAGGATTTAGGCAGAGTTTCTACAAAGGTTCTTCAGTATTATGTGACCTCATGTTAGCTTTGAATTTGGTTGGTTTGTATGTGTTCCACCAGCCTTGTACATGTTTGAGCAGTGAATACTTTATAACAGACCTTAGTAAACTGTAAGGCAGCTCTGTAGAAGGATCTCTGTGGCATAGTCATAAACTAGAATAATTTCTGTTGCATATTTTTATCTCCTCTATACTCTTTATGGAGTTTTGCTGAACGCTTTCTTACCTTTCATAGTACCAGTACATAAGGCATCAGAGGCTGATATCATAAGCCAGAGCTGGCCCCCGTTTGAAATGCCTCAAGAATCCTCTTTGGCAGTTTCTTCCCATAAGTCCTGCGGTAATAAACAATAAACCTGTGGCTTTTAATACAATGAAAGTAACACTTAAACCTTTGTACTGTCTATTAATAATACTCCAACATTATGAATATTGTTGGGTAAAAACCATGTTTTAAAATATTTCTTATTTCTTTTTCCTCAGATACTGACTTTTTCAACCTAATAGTCATGTAAGGCCAGCTTATATTCATGCCTGCATTTATAGTGGGTTTACAAGAGTGTAATAGGGATGTTTGCATCTTGTCCTGGGAGTGATCAGATACTAGACTTTAAAATAGGGATATTGTATGTTTTCTAACATTTGCAAAACTTTCTCTGAGATTCAGCTTACCTTCTCTGTGTGGAATACAAGCTATGTATCTGGTTCTGTGTCAGAACGATTGATTCTTTTTGGGCCCTGCAGAAAAGGAACAAGGAGAGCCAATGTATGCTCTGTGAAGTCTGATGCATGCTGTGTAGTGGAGGACTAGGATAGTATCAAACTACAGAAACAGGTGGCAATCTTCAGCCATGGGGGGACACTTGATTCTGTTAACATTTCTTTTGAGTTTGCACCCAAAGTCTTAAGTATCATGTAAAGAAAGGGCAATTTTGTGTGCTTGTGTCTGCCTGTCAAGGAAATGGATCCTATTATTCAATCCCAGCAAAACCAAGACACTGCCTCTCTGATTATATATTGCTAGATTGTTGACCAGGATAGGACTTGTGATCTTGATCTAAAATGAAGGTAAAATTTTAATGCACTAGTAGATGGCTATACTAATTCTCAGAGTATTTTTGCTGTAAACCAACAGATCATTTTCTTGAAATTGTGTTTTTTAAGATTAAATAGACTTTGTGAGGAAGGAAGAAGCAAGGTACAGTAGGAGACCAACAGAGGAAGGGAGAGTGAGAAATGGGTTGTTTGTCCATAAATGTTGTTCATAAATGAAATAAGCCTGAGGCAGAACTGTTTCCAGTTTTCACATAAGCTCCACTTTCCTGTTCCTTCCCTAAAGGGGTCCTTTATAACCACTAGATTTGAAAAATGACAATTAGCAAGTTCTGCTAATTTTTTAGTCAACCATAAGCTCTGTGATGTTAACAAAGGCAAAAAAAAATTTTGTGTAATCTACTTGAAAGCAGATCCCTTTTAGAGAAACCTCCTGAAACTACAGAAACACCAGACTTTGACATTTATTACCAATAGCTGCTAGGTAATCTGCAGAGCACTATTCCCTGAAGACCTAAGGTCTATCTAGTTTAGATCTTGTAACTGTACTTTAAGCAGCACCTTGATGTAATTTATTACTGACTATGATACCACCAAAACGTTCTTAGCACAGGAGTTGCTAAAAATGGTAACTTGTTATTTCAGATTTATCCTTCCCAAAGGCTGTCCAATTAAGCTTCTCTAATGCATGTTTAATTTAGGAGTCAATAAATCTAGTCTGAGATGTTAAGCACTTACAAACTAGCTGCTAAAATAATACGAGCATTACCAAATGTGCTTAGTTATTGATCTGCTATGCATCTTTACCTTTATAGTTTAGTAACTCTCAACCCATGCTAATTGAAATTTAATTGCATAGTCGTTAGTACCTGGAACAAGTAATTAGGGCACATGTTAAAACATAGTTATACTATTTATTTGCACAATAGGTATTACCTGCCATTACAAATAAACTTCAGTATAATTTTTGTGATGAAAACATGTTAATGGAGGAAAGGGTTGGTTTTTTTTTCAGTGCTTGAACTTACCTCTGTTTTGGGATTTAACCTTAAATGCAAGACTAACTGTACAAATACATGAATACTCTTTCCTTTCAGCTTGCAATTAAAGGAACTGGGGGAGAAAAGGTCTGCAGAAGAGGACAGAGAATGAAATGGAGTCACCATAGGCTGCCTATTGCATTATTCACTCAATTATCCAATTGGGTGTTACCCACAGACTTTCCAGAAGTCTTGGGAAATACACCAGCTCTACTCATCACTGTTAATAATCTGCTCTTCTTTATCCCCAAAGATATTATACAGTTAGTCACATTCTCTTTCTTTATATTAGAAATGTTCACATGCCCACTTAACCAAGACCTAACACTCCAGTAAGCTACCACACAGCAACCTGTGTGTCAGGAATGATATACTTCCATTTGCTTCATTTAGCTACATCAGATATCTGTCCTCTTGTCAGTCCTTTTCATTGTCCATCTCTCCTTTATAGTCTGTAAAACATGCTTCATGTAGCCATGATGGATAAATGGTTCTCTAAATGTTCTTAAAGAGAAAAGCCACGTGCTATACTTACACCTTGGGCTATGCATTTGGTCTTATTGTTATGATCTGGTAGTGTAGCTGTTGAATTGAGTAGGTCTAATAATGATTTACACTATGGTAAATGAGAGGAGAATCACCTGTTGAAACAATCCATCTGATTGAAACAATAATACTTAATAAACTTAGCGAACAGTAAGATATCTTGATTAACACATACATATTGCTTCTGTCTTTTGAGGCTTTTACTGTAATGTCATCACACAAAGTCAATTGTGTTTAGGAACTGATACCAAGACTTATAATGGTATTTGGGCAAGGAACTCCTTGGAAATCTATCCCTGAATGCTTGAATTATGAAAGGTTGCTCTCTTCTTATTCCAAATACATCTAGAGAATAGTTAAAGTTTATCTGCCTCTTATTTCTAATCTTTCCAGTTTTCCCTTCTGACATTTAGGTTGATTTGGCAGAAAGGTTGTTCATGATTACCCTTCAACATTACACACCATCGCTGTGTGCCTGTACACAGTCCACATCCTGTTGTAGTATCCACTCCACCGTTTTGATAGATGCTTTCTTTTCAGGGCGACTAAATTGGTGGTCCACAGTGTGTACAAGCTGCAAACGTCTTCTTCCCTTGGCTACAACAGGTGATGGAAACTGCCTCTTGCATGCAGCCTCTTTAGGTAAGGGAGAATCTGTACATGAAACCTTCTGGCAAAAATATTTACCACTTTTCTCTATCCCCAGCACGAGCTCAGAAACACATGGGATGCAAAGACTTTCATTAAACATCTGGTTCTGGAGCAGAATAGTCTTTAAATTTCATTTAAGTATTGTTTGCTTTAGGTATGCTTGAAGTAAAATTTTGTCAGGTCATAAAAGAAGTATAATTGGAACAGTATCAAAAAGCATATATCATAAACACCAATGACTTGCATTTTCCTTACAGAGCCCAACCTAACAGCTCTGGAACAGGCAAAATCCAGGTGCTTCTGCAGGACTGTCCTCGCTGTGGGCAAGGAGTTGCATTTATTCTCTGGTGTTGGTTAAACAGTTCTCTTGCTGTCTTCAAGAACGCAGTATCTAGCTATTATCACTGCTGGTTCCTCCTAGAGTTTGAGTATATAGAAAACAGAGTTTGAGATGAATTAAAATAATTTCCAGTTGACTGATTTTAATACAAAGTCTTTGAATACTTTCTTCAACTAAAAAAAAATAGAAACCTGTAAAGCTGAGAGTCTTTGATATGCCTTCTGTATCCTAACCTATTATGAGGAAATATATTTTTGTTGTAGTTGCTCAAATCTTGCACTAGAGGAACTCTAAAAGGTGACTTTTAAAAAAAACCAAAACACTGGGATATTCAGTATTTTTAAGAGACCTTTATTTTTGAAGGAAGTAGTAAGAAACGAGTTTTTGCTGTTTCCAAGGATCTTTTTATCTTTGTCCATTTCATTTTTAGTTAGGAGGAATTATATATTATTTACAGCAATTTTTTGGAAATTTTGACTCACAAAGTCTTAAATAAACATATATTTTGTCAGCTGTTGCCATTAAATGGTAACTGAAACGTGGCTGTCTATGGGCACGTGTCTTGGTAAGAGTTCTGCTCTCTTTTCTTGTACGTTACTATTCTCAAATATATGACAACATTTTGTTACCTTAAAATGAGCTTGAAAGCCTGTGGCTGGTTGTATTTTTAGACTTCCAATAATCTTGAATATTCATCTCTTTATTTGGACGTTGAAGCCGAAGGAAATTTGCCATCATGCTGTGTAAGAGTGGAGGCCTTCAGGTGTTGGTGTCATATGTGATCCACAGAAGTGCTTGCAGTTGTCATTATCATTCTTGTATCTGCAAGCTCTTTTGGCAGCTACAGCTAAAACCAACCTGTGCGTTGAATATGGCATTGCTTGCAGCAAAATTGAAGTTGCCTGCAACACTAAACAACTCAAATCTGTATTCATTCTTTAATCAAAGTTTAAACTTTGTTAGAATTCCCTCCTGTTGGTCATTAGCTTATCTGTATTGCCTGTTTCTTTAGGAAACTTTAAAACGATGAATGGATTATTTGCCAAGGAGAATCTTAAATAATGTATAAGCCATGCTTCTTTTTTTAATACAGCGATATTAATTGTATTAGTACTTACAATTTCTATTTCACTGTAGCTCCTCTAAAACTGAATGTCTTCTTGCACCACTTTAGGGATGTGGGGATTTCATGACCGGGACCTTGTTTTACGTAAAGCACTCTATACTATGATGAGAAGTGGAGCTGAAAGGGAAGCACTGAAAAGAAGATGGAGATGGCAACAGACCCAGCAGAATAAGGAGGTCTGTATGGTCTGAAGACAGTCTTGTTAATATCGTTTGGGGTCAAATGCTTTTTTCTGAAGTTTGGTGTGAAAGTTTTAGTTGCTATCAAGTTCCTTGGCTTCCATTTTGTGTGGGGGAAAAGAGATATTTGTATTTAGAACTTTTGTATCAGAATGCAAATGCGTTTGTAGCTTTGTGGGCATAACTATGCAAAGTTTCGTGCCTGCAAAGGTCTAAGATGAGTTTGGAACCTGCAGAAAATTTTGGGCTGCAAAATTAAATGGATAATTTAGCTATGACAAGCATTATGAAATGAGCGGATGAAATCCACAAAAGAAAGAAAACCCTGTTTAGGAAAGATTCCCCAGAATGGTGAATTAGCATTCTCAGAGCTGTGATCAAATATTGCAAGGGTGTTTCTTAACTAAAGTTATCTGTGGATTCGGTTTGACTGTTGATTAAAAGCTGTACTTCAGCATATATTATTTTCTGAAGATGTCTGTGCCTGAGCAGTGGCTAGAAAAGCCAATTTCAGGAGTAACACTGCATGCAGTCAAGTGAATGTGCTTAAATGTTTGTGACTTATTTGTAATGTGCTTTTTTGTTGGCAGCAGTCAGTGAGAATACAAATGACTTGTCACTGACTCAGCTTTTTTGAGTTGAGCTTAAAATGCAGGGGCAAAGAACCCCTTATATACCCTGCCAGGGAGGGGGGGTATTCATAGTAGTGCCATACATTGGGGAACAAAGCAAACTTACAGAAATGGGCAGTAAAGCATGCTCACCATGGTTGCAATACATTCACATGGGTATAAATAACTGCTTTAAATAACCAATAGTTGAGCACCGTAGCAGCAGCAGACCCACACCTAGAAATAGAATCCAATACACAGGTAGTGATTTAGATCTTTTTTAATAATCTGAATAGAAATGTTGAGCCACTAATGGTCCAAGACACATTAGCATGTCTGAAGCTCAAAATAAGTTAGTTGTACTACAGAACTGTGTTTACATTTTCTGCCAGCATACTCTTAAAGGTGTTTTACTCTTTCTCATAGTCAGGTTTAGTGTATACTGAAGAGGAATGGGAACGGGAGTGGAATGAACTGCTTAAGCTGGCGTCCAGTGAGCCTCGGACACACTTCAGCAAAAATGGAGGCACTGGTGGTGGGTAAGTTTACAGTGTGACAAGATCTTCTAGTGTTGGTTCTCGACAGGAAAACAATACACTGCAATTGGATGGAGATGTCTATAGGACCATCAAATTGCCATTTCAACTGGTTGCAATTTTTTTGCACGATAGAATATAATTATCTAAACATGCTGTTGTAATATTTACCATTTTGATTAAGTTTTCTTGTGCAGTTACCACACTAACTTGAGGTCACTTTTCATCCAGAAGAGTCTGGATTTCATAAGTTGTGATTTCTTGCTTTCTGGCACAAGCATGTTGGCAGTAGCTTTTAGCTTCAAGGCAATGAAGTGCCTTCTCTCACTGAAGATATGTAACTTCTCATTTGAGAAGGACTTAGAAATACAGCCACTGCTCAGATATTTTCACTAAAACTTGGAATGACAGAATAACATCACATCTTCTAACAGCATTCTAGGAGAAAATATTGCCTGGATATCGCCTTTTCTGTGCTTTGGCACAACTTTAATTACATCATCTTTTATTCATACGTTTATTTCTATCCTTTTTTTGCTTTGTTGTTCAAACAGAAAATCTTCAGAGAGATCTTTTCTGGGGGCAATTCACTAAGTACCACTTCACACTTTCTATTTTTAAAATGCTGTTAACCCTAAACATACAGGAGAGGGGAAAGTAATATTTTTTGTTATTAAAGCTAAAGATTAAATATTTTGATGCAGTGTCTTTTTAAACAGAAAGTAAACTATCAAGTTATACTTTGCAGTCTCATGAAACCTTTCTGAAAAATCAATATGCTACCTTTTATAAAAAGGTAATATATAAATT